ACCACGTCCAGCTTTTTTTGTATTTTTAGTAAAGACAAGGTTTCACCATATTGGCCAAGCTGGTCTCAAACTCCTGACCTTGTGATCTGCCCGCCTCAGCCTCCCGAAGTGCTGGGACCGCAGGCGTGAGCCTCCATGCCCGGCTGATTTTTATTTTTTAAATTTAATTTTATATAGTATACATGTCAAAAAAGTCCAGCTATTTTGACTTCATGTTTTATGATTGCATGGTATTGTATAGTTGTACCATACATTATTTAACCAATCTTACTTTATGGATGTTTAGGATTTTTCTGTTTTCTCTGTTACAAACAATGCTAGAATGATCACCCGTCACTAAACATTTGAAATAACTCTTATTTATTTAGAATGAATATATTTTCAGTGGAAGAATTGTTGGTTTACAGGATATATACACTATTTAAAATTTTTCATGTCCTTCCAGAAATGTTCATGTCCTTCAAACATCTCCCTTTAGTGAGATGTTTCCATTAAGGCTCCTACCAATAACATAAATCAAGAAGTGCTGGGTGCATGATTCCCAAACCCTTGCCCACGTTGGGATTATCATTATTTTTTTCATTATTTGACATTTTATTTAATTGATTTATTTTGAGACGAAGTCTTGCTCTGTCGCCCAGGCTGGAGTGCAGTGGCGTGATCTTGGCTCACTGCAACCTCTGTCTCCCAGGTTCAATCGATTTTCCTGCCTCAGCCTCCTGAGTAGCTGGAATTCAGGTGCTTGCCACCATGCCAGCTAATGTGTGTGTGTGTGTGTGTGTGTGTGTGTGTGTGTGTGTGTGTGTTTTAGTAGAAATGGGAGTTCATCATATTGGCAAGGCTGGTCTTGAACTCCTGCCCTCAGGTGATCTGCCTGCCTCAGCGTCCAACAGTACTGGGATTATAGGCATGAGTCATGGCACCCAGCCATTTTTTTTGACATTTTAATAGGTAAAACACATTTTATTTTAATGATTAGTTTTGATTTTTAATTAGGTTGAATATTTTTCATGGGTTTACTTGTACTAAATAAGTTTTGATCTATGGAATTTTATTCTATCCTGTATTATAAAGTTTTCAGATGGTAGGGATTTTCTGGTTTTATTGGGTTGTTTGTATACATATATTTCTACAAATTTATATATGCATGTATATGTGTGTATCTGTCTATCCATAATAAATGTACTTGTGTATACTTGAGCTGCATTCACATGTATATACTATTGTTGGTTTTACCCAGGGATTTTGAGGAGTATTTGTGGGCCTTAATTTTGTAACATGGCCATCAATTTCCAGCTGCTTTTCTTTCTCTTTCTCTCTCTCTTTTCTTCTTCTTTTTTATTTTTGAAAGGGAGTAACCCATGACCTGGGGGAAATTCTAGTTAATTTTTCATTACATGATTTTCAGGAGATAGGGTCAAAAGGAGCTAGTAGGGCATTCAATTACGTGCTTGAGTATGTTGGAAAATGTTTTTTTTTCCTTCCCCTCAAGTGTACAATATTTTACTTGGGCTTGTTTTTCAAGTGCATTGAAGTGTGACTGAACATTTTTGGGCACAACCATTGGGTAGTACCATTGGGTAAAGAAGGGGGCTCATCTTGTTAAATATTCCTTCATCAACTTTGCATTTAGCCAGTTTTTGGCAGGAGATGAGCTTTAGGCATTGGACGGCCTGCGAGGACGTGAGCTTTAGGCATTGGACAGAGGGAGAGTGGGTGGGAGGTGGGGACTTGGGGAAACCTAGGATTGGGGTGCTTTGTTGCCCCTCCTACTGCTCTATGAAAAAGTGATTGGTTCAAGCTTGCTTTTGTCTAATAATTTTGGGTGGGTCATAAGTGGGGAGGGAGGGGGAGTGAGTGGTTGGATCTCAGCTCATCTGAGGGCTAAAGGTTCTTTGTGACACATCACACAGACTTGGAGTGCTGTCCTTCTGGAGAGTGGCAGAGAACTAAGATATACAGTTCAGAACCAAAGGAATAGAGAAGGGCTTTGATTGCTTTTTGGCTTTAGATTGGGGATTTGGGAGGCTCAGCAAGAGAGATGTCCACTGAAAATGTGGAAGGGAAGTCCAGTAACCTTGGGGAGAGAGGAAGAGCCCGGAGCTCCACTTTCCTCAGGGTTGTCCAGCCAATGTTTAACCACAGTATTTTCACTTCTGCAGTCTCTCCTGCTGCAGAACGCATCCGATTCATCTTGGGAGAGGAGGATGACAGCCCAGCTCCCCCTCAGCTCTTCACGGAACTGGATGAGCTGCTGGCCGTGGATGGGCAGGAGATGGAGTGGAAGGAAACAGCCAGGTGAGGCATGGCTGACTGTATGCAGTATTGACCCAGGGAAACAAGGGCAAGATGCTTTGATCCTGGAGTGCTGTTCTTTAGACTTAGCACTTTGAATGGCCAATAGGGATGATGTTGGCTGGGATGATAAGGAATAAATAATTTTATTTCTTCTTTCTTTTTCTTTTTTTTTAACATGAATGCAGGGAACCTCTTATTTCACTATTGGGCCATTATTTCATTGATCCACGTTGCTATAATTTTGGCTTTTATAAGGAATTAGAAATAAAGCTCAATTTATATATTATTTAATAGTAAAATATTTTAGAGAGATAATAAACTCATGTACCCAACAATGATAGCCAAGATATATGTTTCCAAAGTGTCCACATGCCAAGATCTCTTGTGAGATTTTGTATGACTAATTACTCATTCTCTGTCAAGAGGGAGGTTTTGGCTAGGTGCAGTGGCTTGTGTCTGTAATTGCAGAAATTTAGAAGGCTGAGGCAGGTAGATTGCTTGCGCCAAGGGGTTCAAGACCTGCCTGGGCAACATAATGGGACCCTATCTCTACCCACCCCCAAAAAAAAGAAAAAAGAAAAAATCAGCTGGGTGTTGTGGCACATGACTCTGGTTCCAGCTACTCAGGAGGCTGAGGTAGAAGGTTCCTTTGAGCTTGTGAGGTCGAGGCTGCAGTGATCTCTGATCACATTATTGCACTTCAGCCTGGGTGACAGATTGAAACCCTGCCTCAAAAACATAAAATAGAATAAAATAAGAAAGAGAGTACTAGAACAATGAGGATTAACACAAAGTTGCTCTTATGGTAGTGCCCCCAGGTTATCCACAGTTTAGCTTTTTATGATTTCGATTACTCACTGTACAGTACAGTAAGATATTTTGAGAGAGTCATCACACTTATATAACGGTTATTATAGTATATTATTATATTTATTCTATTATTATTAATTATGGTTGTTAGTCTCTTACTGTGCCTAATTTATAAATTAAACTTTATTAGGGATTACATATAGGAAAAAAAAGATACATAGGGTTTAGTACTATCCATGCCTTCAGGCATTCGGTGGGGGTCTTGGAATGTATCCTCTGTGAATAAGGGGAACTACTGTATTTCACGTATAAACCTGTAATCTTTTAAATATCCAGCGGAAAGTAGAAGGTTCATCTGAGTTTGGGGTTCAGAGGCCCAAGTTTACTTTGACTCTGTTGCTTCTTAGCTACAAGACACTCAGTTTCTTAGAACTTTGGCTTCATTATCAATAAAGAGTGGATAATAATGCCTATTACATATATATATATGTATGGTATATAAAACATATGTAAATATAGTATGCATATACATATATATGTATGGTATATAAAACGTGTAAATATAGTATACAATTTATATAATGTTACATATATTTATACACATACACATGTATATGTTTTTATATGAAAATGCTTTGTAAATCATTAAGCATTACACAAATACATAGGGTTTCATTAATCTCATAACAGAGCTTTTCTTTTACATACATATTCAGAGATATTCTCCAGGCTAATCATCATCTGTGACATAAGGCAATTATGTAATACAAAGACTTTGATTATAATGCAGTTATTGATCTCTCATTGTCATCATTATGTGCTGATTCCAATGTATTTCACTTTCACAAACAAGATAATGTTAAGATAAACATTTTATAGTCTATAACTTAATTCAAATTGATTCAACTCGACCAATGTTATTTGAATGAATAGTTTACGTCAGGCACTGTTTTAGGTACCATGAATATAGCAGTGAGCAAATGAGGCGCTTAGGTAGATCCCTGAGGCTCTAATATAGATCCCTGTATCTTATTAAAAAGTTTGAATTAAGTTTAATATAGTATCTTACAATATGAGAATAAGGAAAATGAAATCATTATCTCAGCTTTGAGTGTAAGCAAAGCAAAGATAGATGAACGTTGTCTTCTGCGGTTATAGACAGAAAAAGAATTTATGGCTGCTATTTTTTCTAGATAGAAAGAAATTCTAGTTAGAAAATATTTTCAAAAATCACTTTAATCAATTAGAGCAGATGAGCTATCAAGAAGCAATAAGCCAATAGCCTTTTTCTTTACGATTGAAGATTTTTTGAAGAGTTAAAGAACAAATTTTAATTTTCTGAGGCATGTTTTAAGATTTCATACCTCATACCACTTGTAATCAAGTCTTTATGAATTTAATTGGATTTTTTGTAGCTTAGTTACTTAGGCTTATGCTTTATAGGCTTATGGATTTATTTTTATTTCCTTAATTTTAAGTAATGTTTAATGTCTTTAGCCCTTTGGGATTTTTAATACTGGAGAAGCTTCATAAATTAATTTATTTGATAATGGCAGAGAAATTTTTATTCTTTACCAAGAGTTTCTAGGTAGCTTAGCCTTGCAGAAATACCTGCTTTAAAAACTTTTAGAACTGATGGAGAATTTCTTATCTTTCATAGCTTAAGCAATAGTCAGAAAAAAAGTAATTCTGTTTTACCCCTGGCTCCGACAGTAGTATTAAGGAAAGAGACCTAACTTTTAAATACTTTATTTTCCATTTACCGGGTAATTCTCTTTCTAATAGATAGCTACAGTGGTCATGATTGTTTAACTCTTCTGTTTGATAGCTACTTAATATTTTCTTCTTCTAATTAAAAACACTTTCATGGCACATTTCTTTCTACTCCTCACCGCTAATACTTTCTCTTGAAGCTCTTCATTCTTTGCTCTGTTGGGGCTTCTTCCAAGGATACAGCAACTGTTTCTTGTTCCCCTCTCTGAGAACCAATAACCTGTATAGAAAAAAATCCTCTGTAAAATACAATTTTAGTTCCTAAGACATCCTCCAAAAGAAGGCTTCCAAAGCAAAACTTTTACTAGTGAATCTGTTTCATTCTTTCTTTTCCTTCTTTCTGATAGAAAAATACAGTGTGAGAATTGTCCTGATGCAGCCTGAATTAAGTGTTGGGAGATTTTGGTCTAGTCTTGGCTTTGCTGCTCACTAGCTGTTGAACTTTAAGCAAGTCCTGTAGTCTTTCTGAGCCTGAATTTCTGTTCTATCAGATGAAGGTCATATTGGGTTGCATCTTCTCTAATATTACACATATTTCATAGCTCTCAAATTTCTTTCCTGTGTGTATACTGGTATTCTCAGCTATGACTCTAAGAGCTACTTTGACTTTCCTATTTTCATCTTGAAGTTCTTTGTGAGTTGTTATCATAGAGTAGAATTCAGATATAGTTTTCTGTTTTTTATTTCAGTCAAATGCAGACCATACCTTATTTTACATAATCCCTGGTCCCAGAAAGGTATACAATTGTTCATTGTATAGGTAATTCAACATTGAATGATATGAGCATAGTATTTTTACTTAGATTTTTAAAGACTAAGATGGTTTTGAATACTTTACCATCCTTAGAGACATTATATCTTTGGGAGCACATGTGCCATTTTGCTGACATAGTCTGTCTTCAAGACATCACACTGCTGAAGAGGAAGAGTGTTAGGAGTGTACTGTGTGTCAAGTTCACGCTGTATAGCTTCTCTTTATAGGGTTTACCACAATTGCTGTCGATCAATTCATTATATATGGTTTTCATATGGTCTCCCTCATTACATTAATTTATCTGAAGACAGAGACTATCATGTCTGTCTGTTTACTGTTATGCTGCTAGTACCTGGAAGTGTCTGATTCATAATAGGTTCTCAATAAATTTGTTTAATGTGTGATTGATTGAGAACTAATTGCTTTTGACACAACTGCTCTGAATATAATACTTTTTTAGAAATATTAATTGACCAAATTAAGGTTCTATATAATTCTTCTCTTTCTGACCAGTAAACAACCTTGGAATGACAGACCCAAGGTACTCAGCAAGCCATTGATAAAGCATAGAAGAGGACCTATGTTTAAAGTTTCAAACTATTTCATTAATATACTGTTGACCTCTGCATTTATAAAAGCATAGATATAATTCCTTATTTAGTTGGAATTAAATAATTGGAGAGCTAATAGGAGTCTCAAAATTGACATGTCTGAAACTGAACTTCGGATCTGGTCTTCCTACAGGTTTCCTCATCTCAATAAACAATTCCATTCTTTTAATTTCTGAGCCAGAAACATTGGAGTCTTCCTAGATTTCTCTCTTTCTCTACACTCAATATCTGACCAATTGGCAAATTCTGTTTTCCCCTAAAGATATTCACATATTCAGAGATCTCACTATATCTGACATTCAGTACTGCTGTGATGCTAGTTCATCCCACCATTTCTCACTGAGATTACTGAAGATACCTCCTAATTAGTTGATCTCTTTGCACCTGCTCTTCTTTTACAAACTGTCTGCCATGATCTCTTTGATTTTTGTCTTCATTTTCATTTCCTTTGCTTCACTCGGTGTGAGCTTCACTGGCCAGTCATGCTAATCTGTCAGGAACTTTGCACTTGTTGTCCCCTCTGTCTGAAATGTTCTCTTCCCTGAATCCCCACAGTTATCTGCATGGCTCATTCCCTCATCTCCTTCAGGTCTTTATTCAAATATTACCTGCTTAGTGGTTGTCCTATCTATTACTGAAAGCTTCCCCCAATACGCCCTATCCCTCATCTTTCATTATTTTTGTCCTTAGGACTTGTCATCATTTAGCATATCATATATCTTGTTATTATCTCTTCTCAATAGAATTAAAGCTCTGTGAGGGCAGAAATTTTCAGTTGTTTTGGCATTCTGTACCTAGTGCCTAAAACTACCTGGCACACAGTTCATGCTCAATAAAGACTGGCTAATAGAATCAATGAATAGAGAAATATAACCTTGATTCTTTTTTTTTATTATACTTTAAGTTCTGGGGTACATGTACAAATCTTGCAGGGTTGTTACATAGGTATACACATGCCATGGTGGTTTGCTGCCTCCATCCCCTGTCACCTTCATTAGGCATTTTTCCTAATATTATCCCTCCCCAATCTCCCTACCCCCTGATATCCCTCCACTAGCCCCCCACCCCACAACAGACACCAGTGTGTGATGTTCCCCTCCCTGTGTCCATGTGGAACATTGATTCTTAGTTTGCTACTCCACTTTAATTCTCTGGAGAGGCTTGGAGGTGAATATGCCTCTGGAAATATTTAGCTTTTCAGTAACCTTTACTACCTGGGACATACCCTGCTTTCAGAATGTTTTTGCAGTAATTTCTGACTTCCACATGTGATGTCCAATTTCCAGACATGGTAGTTCCCCCCTCTGCCGTTAAAAGATCTCAAACCTACCAGACTAATGAAAATTTAATGTTTAGAAATAATCAATTTTATATATGAAGATGTGACATGAATCTTTTTCTGGCCAACTTATAAATTTGATTTTCTGTGAAAACTGCAATTGATAGCTTATTTTATTCCATAGAGAGCTAATTCTCTGAACTTCTCCAGCTTTCTGTAGTTTCTATTATAAGTCTACACCCCACATAACTCCGTATCAGACTCCTTTCTCTTTTCAGACTCTCTACTTGTCAGTTGGCTAATGATTTGATTTGACCAAGAACATCCTACACTGAGCATCAGCATTACTGTGGCTTCAGACATTTCAGGCTGGCCCTGTGCCTGAAAAAAATGAGAATTGTTTCAATAATAGGGGGAGTTGTCCCCTTTTAAGTTATGGAAAATACAGTAGTTATACTATGAACAAGATTAAGTATTTACAAGAAGTGTAAAGTAACAATCAACTCTATCACCATCACCATCCTTTTTACATTTTTGCCTGTTCTTTTTCATAAAAGTTAGAACTTTGAATTTTCAGCGGTTCTTCCAAAAGAGAGTACAAGTTAAACACTGTGCAAAGGGTAGTCTTATCAGACCTGGAAAATCATTTGGAATTGGTGAAGAAGCCTGTGCTCCCATTAAGAATGTCTAGGTGACTAGGTCTCAGCTAATGGGTTAATGAAACAAACTGGTAAAAGAATAACTCATGATCCAACTTTGATGATGGCCCAAAGTCAGGAGAAAGGGACCTTTTTTTTCCCTTCCCAAATTCTTTATTCATTTGAGTAGGGATATCGCTACAAAAATGATTATTAGCTGTCTGTTTCTCTTCAGTAAATTTTCAAATGGACAGTGCTGGACTTAACCACCGTTATATGAATGTTTTTAAAGATAATATCCCCATACCAGGCATGGTGACTCACACTTGTAATCTCAGCACTTTGGGAGGACAAGGCGGGTGGATCATGAGGTCAAGAGTTCGAGACCAGCCTGGCTAACATGGTGAAACCCTGTCTCTACTAAAAATACAAAAAATAGCTGGGTGTGGTGGGTGGTGCCTCAGGAGGCTGAGGCTGGAGAATAGCTTGAACTCGGGAGGTGGAGGTTGCAGTGACCCAAGATTGAACTATTGCACTCCAGCCTGGAAAAGAGTGAGACTCCATCTCAAAAAAAAAAAAAGATAACTTCCTCAGCATAATTCAAAGTGTGCTGCCAAACCTCTTGAGTATAAAGGAAAGCCATCACAAGTTTCAACAAACACAAGCCAACAAAGGAAAAGGGTATTCATGTTTTATTTCCAAATGGACACCACAAATGTACACCCATGTGTGTTTCAACTTGGCAGATTGACCTGAACCACCTCTGAAGAACCTGATTTAAGGGCATGGCCATTAAATACCAACATGTGCACTTATACTGTGGGTTTGGGCAAAGACTGCTATCTCCCAGTCTACACTGATTTTTCTGTCTTTTTTCTACTGAATTACTTTGGGGAAATTCTATTTCAGACCAAGTTTATTTTTCTGTAAGAAAAAGACTCAAGGAATTTAATCATCTGTGTAATCATATGTAGTTATATACAATAACTTTAATAGTTGATCTAGAATTTTAAGAATTCTCCTTAAAAACCTCATTTCTTCCAGGTACACACTAGCATTGTCTTCTTTTATGGGTGATAAGGCACTTGTTAGTTAGCAAGAAATTTATTATCATTTCAATAGTTGTACTCAGTTGAATTTTATATAGTGTAAAGGTCATGTCTGGTTTCCGCTGTACAACTGGTATGTTTTTAAGTTAGAGGTCTTGTTTTTTTCTTAATTATATTTAATCATATGATTGGAAAGTTGCAAAATTCAGTGATTCCCAGTGGGTCTTTTTTTTTTTCTTCAACAAACAAGTGAAATGCTGTTTGTTTCGCAGTCACTGAAAATGTCTTAAACTGCAAAGCATTTTATCATTATTCTTCTAAGACCTTGAAATAAATAAACTTCACCTAATAAACCCCTCCTGTAAGGTTAAAACAGTTTTGTAATTGCAAGCATTTAAAAAGCCTACTTTTGAAACACATTTTTCTGTAACAAGTCAAGTACTGAAACAAAAAGAAAGTAGGAAACTTATTACAAATATGTAATTATTCATAGTTATTATAAAGGAGAGATAGTGGCTTTTAGTATACCCTACAGTAAAAATGTCTGTTTTTTAAAAAAATTGTAATTATATGGTTCTAAAGCACCTTTGCAGATTCATTGGCACTTGGAGAGGGTGAACTTTGGTACTTTTGCCTTAGCCTTTTCTTTAATGGGCTCTGATTTGATTTGAGTAGTTTTCAGGTTTTTTTTTTTTTTCTCCAAAATCCAAATTTGTCCTTGATGTGCACGGAGGCTAGACAGAGTATGTGCAGTTTCTGGAATGAAACTATCTGCAAATGATCTATTTAATTAGGAAAGCCAGTATTTTAGGTCCAAATGCATTTGTTGGAAGTATAATCAGTTCCTTTAACAATTAGAGCAATACATTTTAAAGGAATTTAATAGGCA